CTTTTCTCACTACGAACAAAACATAGAGCAAGCTCTTGGTTAAATGATTCGGATCAGACATCAAGTGCATTATGTTTGTTTTTGTACTGCGTGATTCTTGAGAAAGTTCTACCTTACTCTTGATCATATCTGCATGTTACAGAAACGACCAACCAGAAACGAAACATTATGTATATAACTCAATACATATGAGGTAAGGTTGACTGTGTACTGCTTTGCCGAGTATCTGTGAGCTTCAACAGGCTCCAAAGCAGGAGACTGTCCGCACAAATGCAAAAATACTAGAGATTCTAATGGCTTTCCGCGAAAGCATAACGATATGAATCTAATTGACTCCATCTGATACATCTCATTTTCCCAGTTTTCTTGAAGAGTTTCAAAGTAGAATGTTTATTTTTCCAACTTTTGCAGTAAAGTAATTTCATGAACACAGGGTGTTAAATATGCATAGACAAAATAGAATCGGGACATGACCATGTACATACAGAGAAATATTCGAAGATTGTCCTCCCTTCCCGGTGAACCGCTCCGCTCTAGGTTCTAAACGTAGAATACATACAAAACAAGTACTTTCGGGAGGGCAAACTTAGTGTGTTTCAGTTTCTAGTGCATTAATGTGAAGCACCGAGTTGGTTTCGTTCTCCATAGTCACATCTCATTGTCTAATACCCACAGCTGCAAAGAATTGTTAAAATCCCTGCTATGACGTCTGCTGCAATACATCCTTTCCTGATCAGATTCCGATTCTGATGATTGTGAACTTGAAATCTCTGGCTTTGGAAACACTCGTTCACCAGTGCATAAGGCTACCAGCGGAGGTTCACATTCAAGAACGCTGAAATATAAGTAGAAGAGTAATCGTCATTGCAAAGGGCCCACATTTCCTGCGTAGGAGAGAGTGCGAAGAGCAGAGGCAAAAAAGGTGCGCAACAAGTAAAGATCATTGTTGAGGAACCCATTCATGACCAAAAGAATTTCATATAGGAATTGCATTGAATATAGTACAGAGTAGAATATAGTGCAATTGTAGTTGGGGGAGGGGGGGGGNGGGGGGGGGAGAGTGGGGAGAACAAAAAAGTGTTAGTATATCAAGGAATAAATACAGTGTTACGTGTTATCCCGTGCTACACATGGCGCTTTTAACCGCGTCTGAGCAGGGAGGGTGTAACGGGGTGGGCGATTATTCTACATTTTCCACGAGATAGTCGTTGCACAATCTCCTTCGATCCTAAGGTTTAGTTACAAAACTACAGTGTGGGCCAAAATTGTGATTACACAGACATCATATCTCAAAAAGAATAGAAAGTTAAGAGGCAAACCAATTTTAGAAAGCTATTTATCACTTATCTTTTATCAAAGTAGTACATTGAAACTGGGATCTACTGCTTTCTGCTTTCACCCAACCCCAGAGACGACGACGGACGGTATTGACGGTGGTGCGCAGCTAGGGTCGTCGCGTTGATGCCGGCTTTTTGCAGGGCTTCTTTCGAGATCATTTCTCTTCTTGTTTGGGCTAACGGATGTTTTCATGTCCAAGGCTGACCAGACTGAGACATCCTTGGGATTTAGGTCAGGGCACCAGAGTGGTCACTGATCGAAGGTTATGAGGTCAGGGAACCCCTTTCACGAAATTTCTAGACAACTTCTGATCTGCGATCAGGAGCTCCAACTTGACAATATCGCCAGTGTCCTATTATGCACGACGAGATCGAAAAGGTCTCCAAATTAACTTGATTTACAAAAATAATCGGTATTTTTGCCTCGGCCGTGACGCTCGCAAAAGCCATCGCAGAAAGATGGTGGGCTTAGCGCTGTATCACTTCCGTTTCATCAGCTTCATATAAATCTTGTCGCCCTGCTCACTGAGCACCTTTGTATCCGTGAATATATTTTCGTCGGTGAACAGGAATTCTCACGACAGATTTTTCAGTTGCGGCGGGGCAGCTTTGTAGACCGCTGTTGTGATCCAATCTTGTCTTCTCTTAAGCCTGCTCACTGGGGAAGTCACTTTTGATTGTATAAAGGCCTTGTTGTGCAGATGATGTTCCACCATTTCGCGCAGAAAACTTCATGGAATATCCATTCATTTAGCCACCTTGGGCTCAGGATGAATTTGCTGCTACGCAGACGTTTGCCCTGCTTCCTTAACGCTTCCCCTGCATATAACCGCAGGCCTCTCAGGTTTACCACGCCTATCTGCACTCGTTCCAACTTTCGAAAGCATCTTATCGTTGATTGTACCACCTGCCTTGTTACGCTCAGTCGCCTGTAGATGCGTTGTGCCAAAAGTGCCTCGAAATGCAAAGCGACGATTGAGTCACCAGGTAATGATGTTTACATTAATTTCGAAATCTGTCAAAAGTTTAGTACCATTAATTAGACAATAATGTAAAATACCCTGTAAAATGGAAGAAAGCGAACGAGTCGTTATGAACTCAGAAAAAAATTGCTATGAGCGGCGCTGTAATCATAATTTTGGCAAACCCTGTACATACCCGGGCTAAAACCGCATAAGATTGCCGAAACACATCTTCCTATCGATTCAAGATTTCTTGCTATACTAGCACAATTATATGTGTTTCAAACTTATCTACATTTGCACTGAACACAAGATTACGAAACTCACAGAAAATTCACCTCACACATGACACTGCACATTCTGCTACCTTCCTCGTGAATATAGGCAGTTTCAGCGTTCCTTCATGCCTGAGATCAAATACAACAAAATCGCCATCTGATGTGCCCGAGAACAAGTAATATCCCGATCTAAACATGCAGAAATGTAGGCTAGCTTGGAAAGATACAGGAGCTAGAGCATCATAGTAGGCTGTTCAAACCTCAAAGGTGAGAACTGCCAATTTGAAACAAGAGGAATAGCGGACTCTGCATAATAACACTAAACTAAACAGGTCGATAGCAACTGGTGGTAATAAAATGCCAAGAATAATCAACGCCATCCGACTTCTATGTCTCGGCAATTTCGAACAAAATCTGGGGTAGGGTAGAGGGGGTGATGACATACAGTGCGTTTCATAATTATGTATAAGGTCACCCCAGATTTTTGCGATTCTGGAGAAAACAGCCGGAATGGAATTTTTTGGCAAACACTGGAAGAATCCTCGTCACAATGTACCTCCGTACTCAAATTTTGGTCGCAACATCCTTCACCTCAAATTTTTACGAATTTTTTTAAAGAGAGTGTCGGCTTTTGCGCCGTTTCATAATTATAAGGTCACCCTGAGAAAGTAAATGATTTATCAATGTTAATGATTGAAATGATTCAACAGTTAATAATCTAGAGCTCCTCCTTGTGTAAAAGCAATATCAAAGAGCCTCGTGGCGTACTAGAAACTAGGTTTCGAAGATGTTCCTCATCGATTGCTCTCCATGCTTCGATAACTGCCCGTTTCAGCTCTTCTGTGCCCTGGAACTGAAGGTTATTCGCATAAACCTCTTTGACCTACTATGCCCCAGATATGTTCCATCGGATTGAGATCGGGACTGCAGGTTGGCCATGGCAGGACGCTTATTTATTGGCATTGCAGCCACTCATCCGCTGCACGGCTCACATGAATGGAGGCGTTGTCTTGTTGAAAGACATAGCTGAGGTGACGGCGATGGCATAGAAAGGGTACTAGATGATGCTCCAAGACGTTTTGGTAATCCTTTCAATCCATACCGCAGCTCACGACAGGTAGATTCAACACGACATCATTGCAGAATGCACCCCACACCATAGACTTCCTCCACCGAAACTGCGACGGCTGAAGTAGACTGGTTCCTTCCTCAAGTCGGGCCATTATCGCTTGTTTCCGTCAGAACCGCCCAGGTTGAATTTCTTTTCATCCGAAAAGACGACCCGAATAGGAATTATTCAGCTCTATGACGAGATTCTGATGCAGATCTACCTTTGCCCAATCTCTCCCTAGGTTCATCTTTGCAAATCCGGGACGAGCCTCTCTGTGACGATCGGTGATTCGTGGCACCTTCTCCATTGTTTGCCTGGTGATGTTCCCGCATCTTTTCACTGCTCTCCAGACTGTAGTTTTCGACACAGAGAGGTTTAATTCCGATCGGATCTGGTTCAAGGAGGACGTACTGTTGGAAACAGTCCTCAGAATCTTCCGCTCTTCACGGGCAGTAATCTTTCATGGGTGTCCACAGTCGGTGTTATATCTAACGACATGAGGACTCTCTAGAAATCTCCGAATGGACCAAGGGGACCTCTCTATTTGCCTGGAGATGGCTCGATTACTGAGCCCACCCTCATGATGAGCCTTCTCATCAGAGGAAAGCAGATGACCACGAGCCATGTTGACAGTCAGGTTTAGAAATGCCTTTGCTGCATATGCTTACCTTTACGAGTATCTTCAAACACGAAATTTCCTCTCTTTCGTTAATAATTGTTCACTTTCTTAGGGTGACCTTATAATTATGAAACGGTGCAAAAACCAATAAACTGTTCTAAAAAAGTTCAGAAAAATGCAGCTGTGGCTAGAAAACGGATACCTAGGTTATTCGTGCTGGGGAATCCGTTCATGATGCTAGAAAAAATAATTAATGATTCCTTTTTCTGACAGTGCAAAATTTGAGGGTGACCTTATAATTATGAAACGCACTGTAGAAGGCGGTTGGTAAGGGAGGGAAATCACAACTGAAATAAGCTAAAAATGAGGATTTGTATGCAAGAGCTTGCCAAACGACATTTTCTCCCGATTACTCTACCAAGCTAAACGGGATGTGAGAAATGTGGTGGACGTCTGCGTGACTTGATTGATTGTAACAGACGTGTCTAGGAGGAGTTTACCCAAGCTGGCTGCTGCCAACGCGTGTACAGAGTATAAATGCATCTACACGCCAGCATGACTATGGTTTCAAGTAGAAAGCTGCACACATGGTGAGGATTCGAGGAGCTGAAGGTTGTAGTTTCGTATATACGTGAATGTTGCTAAACATCACAACATAATTATTCTTCTGCACAAAAAGAACTCAAAATTGTTTCAAATATTAGTTGTTACAATTAGACGAAATGGAAGTCGCAGAACAAGTGTACAACCTACAAATAGAAAAAGATACCTTTCTACATCGAAGCAAGTCTTCTGGTTTGTTGTGTAAGGGCGTAGCATCCTGAACATAATATCGCCTGGCTTCCTCATATCGTAGCAGAGTATTTCGCCACTCTAAATCGCCGAACATCTCTTTCTTTTACGCATCCTGCAGCGCAACTATTGGAACATTAATGTAATGTGTTGGTGTTAGAGCAGTACTGAGATAAAATATACCCCTCACCTACGAATAGCTCGTACGCTTTTTTCATAGTAGCTATACGTACTAGCTGCAGAAGTTTACTTTCACTAATACCCGCGCTGAAAAAGGGAGCTATGCTCCAAGAATTTCCCGTGAATGCTTACACATGGTACATGGTGGCAATTCATGATGAGACATAAACCCCGCAAGTGGTTTTGAGAGGTGATTCCAAAACTTCCTCCCAAATCTGCGTAACCAGTCTTGAAACAAAGGTACGAATTTGTCTGCCTCTGTGTTATACACTGTGCCTCTGTGTTACACACTGTGCCGAACAGACAACGAACAGAATAGTTACTGCGCTGTGCAACGGTGACGCATTTTGTAAAGCCATGGAATTCCAAGTCCTTGATACATGTATTTTGTTGAAAGTCGATTTATCTTAAGTGTAGTCTACCAAAGGCGATTCCAGTTCAATTCTAGTGGCCGATATCTTAGGTAATGACAAGATATTTTTCGTTTTTTGCTGTTCCTGACCAGAATTTTCACAAGGCCTGGCGCTGTATAAATCCTTCGTTTTCACTAGATTGCTATTTTATTCAGTTTTTTTCTAAATGAATCTTCTCTTCTTTTGGAGTTTTTTGGCCTACTCAAGTTACAACAACTGGCGATTCCCGACCTCTCACGCGGAGCCAACGGAGCAAGGAAGAGCCGTTTCAGAGCTCCACAAAAGTTGAAGCAAACTGTTTGTGGAGTTGGACAGTAAACCCCAGTTGTATGACTGGCTCAGTCGCTGAAAGCATTACTGCTAAGCCCGGCACAGTGTCAGGACGAACTCTGATCGAACGGTCATCTCAGGCAATGGATGCGGAAAGCTTATTAATCACAGAAAGCAAGCAGGATGCAGGGCAGAAGCACATAGAACGGTAGAGGATAGTCACTGAATTGGTGGACCGCAAAAAAGGGGTGATTTCCAGCTCACGTCCAACGGCTGCACCCACCATGGCCAAATTCGTGACAGACTCCTTGCGCTACTGTCAGGGTTTGTACTGGACCACGACAACGACTGTATTTTCAAAGTATGGTACAATAGGTATGAAGACCTGGCCATACATTGGATGAGGCAGCCAGAGCCCACCTAAGCGTCTGTAAGCTCGACGCTGTCACATGAGCTCGTTTCACAAATCGAATCCGGGCATGAGATGAATAATAAGAGGACACCTTGTAAAGCTGAAAGTTCTGTACCGGAACAATAGGCCTTTTCTGCTGTGTTAGATCTACCTATAAACCCAATGCTTCAGAAGTCTTGGCGACTACGAAGAACTGGTATTTCAGTGCCACGCCATGGTCGAGTCCAATTTAGTCAGTCTTGAGCAAATGGAAGACATAATTCAAAAACGTGGACTACGACCAACGCCACGCAGTAACAACACTATTGACTGCTTTCAGACTTCGACGATTCTACCAGCGTGCGTTTCGCAGGTGCGAGCAAGCGAGCGTGTTGCGACGGCGGCTCTAGCCAACACTGTGACAGCACTGGGGGTTCCGATTGATACCTAAAATCGAGAATGAGTAGTTTGTGTGCATTTTGAGTGTCGAACGCCGTTTTTGTAGTGTGTGAGCGTCGAGCATAATTCACAAAAACTCGATTTGCGGTATCCGTCGGTACCACAAGACTTGCCATAAGTCTGAAGGCAGCCATTGACATCCATAAGTTGGCCTGAACAGTGGCTCGCCATTACCGTGCTTTACTGAGGAACAATCTTGATCAAAGAACTGTCCATACCTGTACAAGCATGTCCGAACCACGGAAACTCCGAACCAAGCAATGACTGTGCAAGGACGTCACAACGCAGAAGAAACAGTAATTGAGACGAAGGGGTAAAACAGCACACCAAACAACATCTTGTTCGACTGAACGCATGTCGACGCCGCTTCTCTATGCTATCTACCGCCCGACAGAATCTGTTGGGAAGACGATACGCATGCATTTTGATCCAAGCGCTGGTGTCACTGGCTGAGCGACGTTGACTGAATCGCTGCCGGTTATCTTAACTTCGATCGCATCTGATTTTGCTAAAATATGCAAACAGCAAGCCAATTAAGGGTCGAGAAAAATATGACTGCTTTTTCGTCATAAATGGTCTTTGGAAACGTTACACCAGCTACGCTACTAACACACCATCACTATGTCTCGACCAGCTCACTCAAAACCTTTGTTCCCAAAAGAATAACCTTTGTTCTGCCACTTAGGCGAGGGCTCCATCTGCAACGAAAACTCTTTGTCTCCGAGCACCTTGAGCTACGCTCTCACAGAACATTCAAAAAAGGAACTCCTCACAGTCTTCACACCAGGACTAGACCACTACGTCAAATCAAAGAACAAGTTCATTGCCATAACTTATGCCAAGCCTCTGTCGAAAGGCCCGTGCTGTCCCGTGCTCTGCCATGATCTCGACGTAGCCCGACAACTTGGTATATGTACAAGATCTACTGTTGATCAATTACTAAGAATGAGTCGTTTCGTCATCGTCGCACATAATGAAACACATATGGCTTTGCGCAGACTACTCAACAGGACTAAATGATGATTTTGATCAACACCAGCAGCCCCTCCCCACTCCCGAATATTTTTTCAAAACTGAGCGGAGGACGCTTAGTTACACAAATTGTCCTTGCTGGAACATATTGGCAACTGGAAGTGGACGACGACTTTGAACATCTACTGACAATCAATACCCACAAAGGACTCTACGTTCCAATCGACTATTCAAAGTGAAGCCTGCTATAGCTATTCTAGACCAATTAATCTTCTTCAAGGGTTTGATGGAAATGCTGCCTACTCGAGAACATCCTCGTCACCAGCACCATCGGCGTACATTACACTAGGTACACATTACCAGATCCCCATCTCGGTCATTCTTCTTTTGGAGAGCTTTCTATTGACCTGATGGTACTTTCGCAGCATCGTTGGAGCGGTCCTGTCCAACGCTGTAGATTTCAGAGCTCGCTCAAGTTCAGAGCAATTGGGCCCGTTTACATAACTGTTCTGGTATATGGCCTCCCACCAGTAGCTTGCTAGGCCTTGAAGGAAAAGGGGCTTGGGTATAATTCGAGAAGCCACCAACACTACCCCGAGATGGACAAAGGGCCTCTTTGTTAGGGACGACCTCGGACCGCCTATTGATCATTTTTCGTTGACTGGCATTAAGCTTTCAGCTGAGCCATTGTGCAGAATAACAAGACCCGCCACATGAGATCATGCGACGCCATGTCCTCGTCAATAACCAATTGAAAGTCCTTTAGTAAGAGAGACCCCTCAGTGAAGGATTTCTAGTGAGAGATCTTTCTCACTGGAGGAGATTCGTGAAATTGTTACTCACCACCTCTGTATCAAATATTGTGTAAAAGTTCGTGCTTTATGTATATACCACCCAAATCGTCCGACTAGCGACGGGCTTCCCGCTTTCTCATGACAAAGTTGTAGTCATTGGCTAATGCGTTATTGCTCTTTGGAACAAAAGATACTCTTCTGAACATGAAATTCGACTCATGACAGTGCAAGTGCTATTCAGCATGTCCTTATGTTTATTCCTATGATCAGAAGTCTCGACCTGTCGCTCCTCATCTAGAAAAAATCACCCGTTGAAGATTCAGCTCTTACTCGACCACGCCTTAAGTGGTACACAAGTATTATCGAGTGATTACAACACACCTCTTAATCAGGTATTATTATCAATGAAATTTTTTCTCCAAGGATATGTGTACCATTGAAGTCATCACAAGAAGAAGTGCGGCGGCCAGCGCGAGGCCTTTTTTTCTGTTCTCGCTATATTCCCAATCTTCCCTGGACATACCTAAATTCCCCATCTTTACTTCTTTGTCTACTTGACTCAGTTACTCCATCAATGGAGTCTTAAAATTGCTGTTGTGGAATTTTTGATTAAACTCTATCTTTCTCAGTTTCACTTCGATCGTTGTTTTCGGAGTGGTTCCGAGGTGGTCTCGTTGGTGGTTTCGATCGATTGTTTTGTGCGGTCTGTTCAATTGATCTTGGCGCCAAAGGAAGACTGTGTTAGCAAAAGAAACTATGAGTAAATCCAGTGGATCTGAGGCTACTCAACAAGTGGAGTCCAACCAAGATTCAAGTGCGGATTCGTTGGATGTTGATTATGGTAGACTATCAGTCATCAGTCAACTAGTAAGAGTAGTCTTAGAGCACAACACTGATCCACTTATCGAGAGGATACTGCTGGTGCTTGCCGAGAAAATTTCAAAGGATGCGGCTGAGTTTGTAGAAGCCGATAGCTGGTCAAAAAGTGTTGTTATTAGTGGTGTTGAGAAGGCTGCACCCGGGCACCCAGAGTATTTCTAATCAATACACTAATATGCTTTGTAAGCTCCAACAACTTACTAACAATTACCAGGAGTACGCCATTCTATAAGGATGTCAATGTCAAGTTGAAGAGAGGGTTCTGGCAGAGCGACACCTTATCGCTCGAGAACCTCATGCCGTCGGCCGCTTACATCACTTCCGCTTTGCGGACGTCGTTGCTCATAACACCGAGTATAGAGCAGGCGCAATGGCGGTTGTAGACAGGAGTGCGTTACAGTCGATCACATCCACACTGTTACAAGACTCACTGGATTATTCTAAGTATCTAAGATGCCGTTATGTCTGAAATACATCGATCCGAAGAAGGCCTTTGATACCGTCGAGACAGAAGAGCGATGCTTCGAGCATAGGGCAACCAGGATGTTCCCTCTCAATACATAAGGATGTTTCGTGAGCTCCACGACATCACAACGACAAAAATTTCGCCATTCTACAAGGAAGGCATAGTCAACGTGAAAAGGGGGTATCGGCAGGGGGATACCGTTTCACCCAGACTTTTCAGGATCCCATCAAAAAATCACGCGTCATTTGAAATGGGAACATTTGGAGTGAAGGTCGACGACCGCTATTTACATCACCTCCGCTCTGCAGACAACATCGTGCTTATAACACCGAACATCAAGCAGGAGGAGCGAGTGCAAGCCGAATTGGACAATGCTTGTGGAAAGATTGGCTTGAGACTGAACCTGATGAGGACAATGTTCACGTGAAACGGATTGGCACCTGATGCTCTCTTTACGATGAATAGAGCGTATATCACCGAATGCTCCAGGTACGTGTATCTACAGGGTGAGGCAAAAGTTCTGGCAAATGCTCGTTTCAGGCCTTCCATAGGAAATGGAGCCTTTTATCTCGACAGGGTCTGTGCCAGTTTCTGCAAGTCTTCTATACATTCCACGATTTGGCCTTTCTTAAATATGCCATTTTACGGAATGGTGACAAGCAGAAGCCAATGAGCCCCATGCTGCACCTCCATCAGGCTGGATGCACTGCAAAGACCATCGCCAAGCAGCTCCAGATTCCCTTAAGAACCGCGTACAACAACATCAACAGGTACAAGGCGACAGGAACTATGGAGGGCAAGCCTAGAAGTAGAGAACCGAAGAGTGCAACAACAAGGGAAACGTGAAAATCATTCGAGAGAAAATCAGGGTGCGAATGCCAGCCAGTACAACATGAGAGCCATAATTTTATTCCCACTTTACAGTATTCTTTTCAGCATCAATTGTACCTCTCCACTATGAAATGAATCTGTTCATATTTCCCACTTGAGAAAAACAAAACATTCCAGTAGTAGCATAATGATAGCAATTTCTTTTGTAATAAATAGGTTTCTTCCTCTGACGTGTATTCTTCGTGTCCCAATTCTTGGTCTATCATTTTACGTACGCAAGGAACTTAACCACGCTCAAAACCTTGCGTCTCAATTTCTCTTGCACGTATGCATGTAAAAAATGTTTCCGGACCTAGTTGAAGCCCAAGCCTCCGCAAGAACATTTCACTCTATGTTGAGAAATATTCGGCTTTTCGTTCCTTTACAGCTACTGATGTTTCCTCATGATCGACAAATACGGGTAACGCTTAAGTGCTTGACTAATCAATTCCCGAAAACTAGAGAAGGAAAAGACATTCTTAACAACATAATTATAGAAACACAGTTCACAGTGCATGTACATGATAAGTGCATGTTACTTGAGCCTATCATGCAAGAAGATTTACAAAGTATATCAGATGACCTGATAGGTCGAACACAGTACGCATGATGCAAAATGACTTTACATGGTAGCAAAAAGGCAGGATTGCAAAGTGGAAGTACTAAAAGAAAAAATTGATCCACCTTCCGTGGTGCCACGTATAATCGCAGGCCATCATACGAATAATGCATGTCGGTTATAGCTGTTGATTCGGTTGAGAACAGACATTCCAGTGAATTGCTGCGATCGGAATAGAAGCCAACTAGATCAATAGAAATGAAAAAAGGATTTGGATAAATCAATTCAATAAATCAATTCAGGATGAAACGTTGACAGTAAAAGATAGTTTCATAAACATTCGAGTTTCTACAACCTGAGCCCTTCCACTGTTGCGATAACTGGTGCTAAGTGTCGTCAATAGACCAACTGACGAATAATTACACATTTAATTACTATACGTCTACCTCTTATTTTATCATAACTGTTACTCGAACAGCTGACTTAACTTCCTGGTTTACACTATCAGATTCACGATTCAAGAAAATAATACCCATAATTTCGAAAAGGGATTTCTTCGAATTTTCCTCAAAACAAGAACTACTTTAGATTCCGAGCGTTCCGCTTTATACGTCTCACCCCACTGAACGGCCTGAAAAACCCGCTGCAACGAATACATGTGTTTTCATGCCAAACAGCGTAAGAGTGTCTTGGCGCTATTTTACATAGTTCTCGGCTATCTACGAATGAAAAGGCCCATACACGCTCTCCGCGCGACGATGGAGTCAGCACTCGACTCGTCAGATCACCAAGCAAATCGGCAGGAGCCACTGTGATCTCCACTACTACTTCAAAAATCGAGGGAGAAAGCTTTGCAAGAGATGAATGGCGAATTTGGACGCAAGGTTCCAACAGTAGCCGCAGTGTCAATCAAATCCTGGCTGACCTGAGGCCACCTTTCAGACATCGGTGCATTTCATGTTGCAGAGTAATTTTGTGGATTCCGATAATCTTTCCCGACAAGAGGAAGTTCACCTCTGAGGGGCTAGGAGGTGTAAGAAAGAAAAGATCTGTTACGATGTACATATGTATGCGTATATATGTATATTGTAGTGTGCATATGTATATAAGTATACGTATACTCATATATGCACATGTGTACACGTGTATATGTGAACGTGTGCGTATTGTATTGTATTATATGTGCATGTGTGTGTGCGTGAATCCTGAGGAAATGAGGAACTGCGACAATTGTCACAGGGACAGTCTCGCGTTCGAAGGAGTCTGACAGGCATACGGTTGTATGATACGAGAAGCAGGGTCTATTTCAGCGGCCCCTTTGACCTTTGAAAGCTTTCTGGAAAGAGCCGATTCCTTCCTGAAACCTGTCAAAAATTTGCATGTTTTGCTGTACACCTCTACATCTTGAGCGAAGGAAAGATTCCTCTCAAATGGGTAAAAGCTCAGTGGTTTTTTATCGGCTGAAAGAAGCTCCGAACTGCGAATCGTGCCCAGCTTTCCCTCAAAACGAATAGTTCGTTCTTCATACAGGCTACAGTAAAACAACGGCTTCCACCTTCTATCGGCTTCTGTACATGCCTCGGCATGCCTCTCCCCCAAGCTCCCAGATCCCATCTGTTTTCGTGAACGTTTGAAGCACAGCATGTACTTGTTAGCTGCTACCCCACTAAAATGAGAGAAGCCCACTGTTGCCAGGGTGTCATCCGGAGCCCGATATCGCGAAACATCTCTCACCACGACTATTAACGTCACGTTCTAAAGGGAATAATCCATTTGGTTAAGCGACTACGTCCGCCGACATGGAGCCGAGCATCATACTGTTGAATCCGTGCAAGGCAGGAAATGGATGTGACTATTGCACTACCTGAACATACCTAACGCTTCTACGGGCGAGTGTCTCGACGACACGAAGAGGTTGAATGTAGCTCTTATGGGCTACAAGCCCCGCCGTTCGTTCTGGGCTCAATACGGTCCCTTGAGATGCTTCCCCTTCCCTGTGGAACCGTTTTCTTCAATGGGCTCACCGCAACAATCTGACGACTGAATTGTCCAAAGTATCTGCATAAAAGGTATTGCATAAATTGATCTTTATTCCTACCTTTTTATTTTCATGAAAGCAGGAAGTACAATGGTTAAGTTGAGTTAAGAGAGGCCAGAGAAGAAAAAGGATTGTTCTTCTTTGGCCTAGAATTCCTATTACAGTGTGCAGCTAAACTTGCAGTTTTCAGATCGCTGAGATGAGAGTCGAACGAAAAAGGGTGAAGTGGTCGTTCGAACAATCTTGTACCGCCTGGTCGGCCAACTTTGGGCTCAGTGGCTGAGCGTCGTTCATTCGCCGCTTACGGTGATACATTACATTCTCTACAGCAGTCTTCATTCCTCGTAGTTGTCTAAGAAACAAAAAATCTGACTCAGCTAGTTGTGTGTTGTAACTCCTTGAACTGTACAAGAAACACCGTTACCATCAACTACACATGAAGAGTGAACTATCGAATCTAAGAGAGCTTTATTTCTTTTCCACTGTCGACCACGGTTGTGTGCACTTAATCAGTAATTCCAGGAAGCGATAATCAACAAGTGACTCACCGCTGCCTCCATATGTTGCCACTGCATATATTCCATCGAATGATTTGTTCATTGCAATACACGAGACTATGGATTTCTGGCCACCAGTTCCCTTTTCTGCAATGGCCACGTAACGTATTCTCCCAAACGTGAAAGCAAATTTAATTAATTCATATGATAGCGGTGTTTCCAGGTAGTAACGTTGTGACCGAGCGTGCTGTTGAGTTTTCAAGTTCTCATGCATGACTTATACCCATTTTCTACCAACCAGCAAGTTAGTTCCGTTCTTCCAACTTCATTTGATTTAACTAACATCGCGACCGACGCAACGAGTATAGGGAGGACAAAAAGACAAATGAGCGTGAAAATGAAGTCCCTTCAATGCGCAAGAGCGATCAATCAGCCGATCGTAGAGTGGTGAGAGAATTTTACCATCACTCTGTTATGCTTTGTTATTGCTCTTGCTGCTGCTGTTATTCTTCTGATTTTCTGTCGTTCAAGAATGAAAAGAGGTGAGCCTTTTTTGGTGCTAATCGTATCGTTGCAAATTTGTTAGTGATTTTGGATGTTTCAGTTAGGATCACTTTGCTTTTTGTTTCTTTTAACAGCAATTTCTTCGGTACGATATATTGAGTTGTTCTTGATAAATGTCAATAACACTCTTACAAGGAAAGGATACCAGATCGCAGTGGCCATTCAAGA